TAAGTACAACAAAAAGGCATTTCTAAGTACAACAAAAAGGCATTTCTAAGTACTAAAACAAAGGCATCTTTGTTGTAAGAAGAACATCTTTTATTGCTAAAAGGCAAAAATTTCTGAGTATTACAGATTATTGAGTATGTTATATTAAAATGATTTTGAATATGAATGTCAGCAAATTATGTGACAAGCTCGGCTAATATAAAGAACTATATTTTGACATTGTTTTGCACTTTGTATGTAGTGTGATGCCATTGAAAATATATAGCTTTTGGGAATGGTATGTAGAAGTCCTTCCTGAAGCAAAATATTTGTATACTCAGATCATAAGAATGTGTTTTCAAATAGAGATATCCATGTACTTAAATGCATTGGAAAAAAAAGAATTCTGGTCAACTTGGGGCACCAGGACGATCTAGAAAGAAACCTACAACAAGTCAAATCTCAACCATAGTAAGCATCATGTGACATCTTGTAATAGGTGAAAATCAATGAACACCAAGGCCAAAAGCAAAAGATGCCTGGGAAACCAAAGCAAGCAACACAATCATGAAGGAGGTTATCCATATGATAAGTATTCCAGTCATACCTCCTGCTGAATCATTGCACACTTCAAAATGGCTGTGAATGAAATTGGTATTTATATTATTCCATACAAAGACATTCCACTGAAGTTACCTGACACAGCACCTATGACTTTTTGTTCGATTAAACTGTTGAAATGAGTACTGGGAATAGATGGATTATGAAAAGCCTGTGAGGAGGAAATGAAAGCCTTATGATGCAGCATGTTTTAATGGAAACTGTGCTGCAGAGCTATTGTAAATATGCACAGTCATGGGATACAGCATGACCAGGCATGGGAACATGCACTGTAATGGTGTAGTGAGGCTCCAAAATCATTTTAATATAATGTACTTAACGTCTGTATAAGAAAAAGCATATCTATATGTTAGAAGTAAAACATCGCTAAGTGGTACAAAATATCTAATTATCTGAAACACCCACATATGAAACCATAGGTATAGACTTACAACTTAAAAACACCAATAATGATTGAATTTATACATAATAATTTTGCCAATAGATTGTATTGAATATTATGACTTATATTTTAATGAAGTTTTTATTTTTAGCTCTGTACATTAAATATACTTTTAGCAGTTGTTTTAACAATTTGTTTTTAATATTTTGTATGAAAACTCCCTCTAGTAGCTAAACACTTCTTTGAACACATAATCCAATATTTAAGTTTTATAACGACTGAACAACTTGTTATTCTGTTATGGTGACATCCCTAATCTATATATTAATATAGAAACAGGAATAGAAACCAAAATATTTACAAACCATGTGCCCTGAGAGTTTGAAATTTCATTTTACTACAGTCATAAGTTTTAATTTTATCATTTGTACATCACAGTTGTCAAAACAATTTACTAATATTTTATGAAGTTAAAACATAGATATAATCAAAAAACAAAGAGATGCTAAATATGAGTGATAAACTTCTGCATTTAAATACTAGTATGATAAAGTCTTAATTTTTTTTAGTATGTAATAATCAACTTTACTGAATTTCTAAATAAACATTTAAAATGAAACTTACGTTTTTCATCCACAGTGTTTTCCTTAGGAACTGGAGTGATATCTGACAGTTAAAAAAAAAGTATTGTACTTCATTCTGCAAAGCATTAAACTATGAAATATTACATAATTTGTTATTATGAATTATTTATATAACTTTCACTATCATAAAATTCAATTAAATATAAATACCTTGCTTTAAATGTGTAAATGTTAAGGGTAATGAATGGGTATCAATTTTATTCGCATATTAAATGCATTTGAGGCAGTATTAAAAATGGAGAATACCAGTTATGAGAGAAATGACAACATTCTTCAAATATTTAAAAAACATGAGTGAGTCATCAGCATCAAGTTTTATGTAAAATTAATAGGGATTCCTACAGAACAATAGTAATGGAATATCATTTACAATGGGAATACTATCATTGTAAAACTGGGAATAATACCAGTACTCAACTGTTTTTAATTCTTTTTCCATCTTTATAGTTGTGTAATGACTTAAACTATTTTCTTTAGATAAAATGTCATCAGAATTACAACTTGAAATATTTAAAATCATCACAGTAAGACAGGAAATAAACATAAATATTTTTAAATGGTCCACATAAAGTTCCAACAACATATTATTAATATTTTAATAAATTAATATTTCATAAAGAATAAAATAGTACATTACACTTATACTTCCATAATTAACAATAAAGTAATGTAAATGTTAACAGCACCAGTGCTCATAAATATAGTCATTACAATCATTAATTAAATGTGTGAGGCAAAGTACTGTCCAAACGTTGATTAACAAAACAAAATCTTCTTTCTTTACCTAGTTACTGCCCCTAATCTGTTCAGTTGTGGTATTTTCAAATAAAACGGATTTTCCCAAATAATAAATAAGATAGGCCCACTAAATAACAGAAGAATCAACAAGATAATTATTACAAAGTAATTGTGATTTATTTTAATTTCAATGAATTTGAGAAAGAAATAAAGAAACTGGACACATTGTAAGACACAATGAATAATCTTCCTTTACAAACGTAAAAACAATGTGTGTACTTGCTGTGGAATGCTGGACAGTCACCTTTCTGGAATGGAGCTGTTCTTTCTCCAAACTGCACTTCATGAAAATTTCTTTTTAGGCAGACCACCGTCACTTAGTTAACTCGGGAATGTCAGACTTACCCACAGAGCAACTAGTGTACCCACATGACTATTCATTCCAATTTCAAATTTAAGAGAGATCATTACTTCAAAACAACATCTAATCTATCACTGAAAGACACTGCTGTCTATATTCATGCAGATGGTGCAGCTTTACAACCACACTCCCATGTACAGACCAGGTGATATCTTAAGAGAATGATAGAACAAAGGAAACTTAACTTTCTTGACCACGTGTTATGCGAAAACTGAAAATACCAGAATAACCGAAAAATTCCAAAGTATACTATATTGAAATAACAAGATACAAAGTACATGGTATGGTTATACACCACACTGTCACCAAATCTTTTTTGATATTTTTCTTTTTTTGTTGTACTCTAGGTTAATGTCATAATTGTCTTGGGCTTCTGTTCTTAGTGCCACTGGAAGCCTAAACTCTGACACTGTAAATGTCATGTAGTTCACAGGGATTTCCTGGTCAAAGACCGTGAATCTGTTTAAAGCTTGTCTAACATCACATCTTTTTGCATGAAGCTATTCTCAACATGCATTCTTTCTCTGTGTCAATTAACCACACACCATGCTGTGTATAGAAGTTTCCTACCCTTAAGGTGACTTTTAACTTTCCTCTTGTTGTTCACATCAATCCTGCTTTATCAACAAGAAAAAGTTTAATTTACTTATTTCATAATTTTCCAATATTAGAAGTGACATGTTTGAAATTACATTTATTTATTTAAGACCTAACCAGCATAAACGATCTTTTCTGAAATGTTTTATATTTTTTCTTTGGTCCTTCAACTGGTAGTCATTTGTATTTATTTGATAGGATTCAATAACCTGTAATTTTAGTAATATGCATTTCCTTCCTTACTACTAGTTCTTTTTACTATTCCAACAGACTCACCTTCACATGCTATTTCCTGGCCACTCCAATATCCAGACACTAAACACTGTCGAACTGGTATTCCAACCATCTTAAAATTTGGAAGACATTCATACTCCACAATGCTTCCAAAAGTAGTAGATCCATTTACAAGAAATCCTCTTCCATTTAAAACCACACTGGGGTGTTTACAGTCTACCACTAAAATAATATTAATGTATACTTAATTTCAGTTTGTTATTTGTCTAACATAATTCATGATTTCATAACTGTCAATGCTTTCTGCAATCAAGATATCTTCATTCTCTCCTTCCAGTATTAGTTTGTACTGTTATTAATACTATTAAATATTCAAGCTTGAATATGTAAAACTTTTTCTTGACACAAAAATAGCAGTAGACATTTTCACTGAATTTGTGAATTCATCAGTTCAACATTTTTGAAATACATTTTACATATTGAATTTTCTGTGTTAAAACTTTAAACTTTTCTCTTAACTTAAAGTTTGACGTCAACAAAAAAAATTAAACTTTTAACTAATAAAAAGTTTGTTAAATGTTTTATAAGTCCCTAAAAAAGTTAATTTTAAATTCTAAGAATAGTTTCAAATCATTTTGTAAAAGTTTGACTCTTAAACTTGTATCTATATTTTAATTTTGACATTTATAAAATTGTGGCAATGTAAATTATTCATATAAAGTAACTTACCTATGCATGATGGCATAGCACCTGACCATTGACCATTTTTTTGACATGTCCTAGTGATTTGACCTTTCAAATGATATCCTGGTACACAGGAATAATGAACAACACCACCAACAGAGAAGGTCTTGCCTTCCACTACTGTTTTTCGATTTTGTTTTTCTGGTTTACCACAGGAAATTTCTGAAGAATATTCGTTTTAAAATTATTCATTAGTTCTATGTTTGTTATTGTGACTAAAACTTCTCTGAAACATTTCAAGTAAGAAATTACATTTCGTTTCAAGGATCTATATACAGAAATGCAAGAAATGTTTGTCAGAATGAGTTGTTAGTCTTAAACAATATCACAAATAAGAAAAATGCAAAACCACTTGTTTTGCACTGATAAATTTATCTAATGAGAATCTTAAAAAGCTTTACATTTGAAATATGTTTTAAAACCAAACTTATACTCAAATGATAAGACAAGCCATTTTTCTATAATTTCCTTAAAATATGATGATTTAATATTTATTTTCCAACTTGTAATCTTTTAGTTTTAAAAAAATTAAGTATATTTTCTATGTAGTTATACCTTTTTTATTTATTTTATTGTTTTTATTGCCTCACTACTTCATTGTACTTACCCACACATTTTGGTTCTTCTCCACTCCAAGTGCTGTTATCCAGACATACTCTTCTGATTGGTCCTCTCACTTCATAGGTTTCTTCACAACTGTATTCTACAGTACTTCCATAGTAAGTAGTGTTTTCAAGCAACTGCCAACTTCCATTATTTATTAGAGATGGAATACCACAGTCAATGTCTGGCAAATAAATAATCACGAGATATGTTTATTGACTAGTAACGCTACAAAAAAAAAACAACATTAGGTTTAAATTCTGTACATAATCTCAATCATATAAATTATATATAAATTAGAGCTTAGAAGAATTAAAATCTTGTACATAAGAAATATATACCATATGAAAGTAAAATAGGAAGTAGTTGCAAGCTATAACCTTCTTATACTTTGTGTTAGGCTTCTTCTCTAGACAAATTTAAGTCAATTTACCTTTGGCTAACTGATATGAATATGTTATATCCAAGCTGAAATCCATTTAACCTATCCCTATCAGTTATGTCAAGTAGTCAAACTTAATTAAGTAAGAAGTTTAGAGCAAACTCTAAACAAAATGAAGGAAATGCGGTATACATAATTTTATTGTGGATAATAAATTATTTGAATATTATATTTAATTAAATGCATTATATCAACAGCAAGAGGTTAATTTATAAATTATCTGTTATATTAACTTCTTTTATACTTAGTAGCATTGAAAAGTAGAAAAATGTATTTAGAATAAAATATATAGATTTTATTATTAACAGAGTTTGTTAAAACAATAAGTTATGGAAAATTACATTTATTTTCATAAACATAAGTATTGTACTTCCTTGTAAATAGTAGTCAATTATGTAAAGGAACCCCAATTTAGTAGATTACTAAGTAACAAAGTTTTATTAGTGTAGTGGTTAGGTCTTTGGTTACTGTTAGAGTAAAGTTAGCTGCAGAACTTTCAACATGTTTGTCAAGAAATATATATAGTTTTATACTTATATATAGAACTTGTGGGTTCTCCAATTCCATACTCCAGTCTTCAAACATTGTTGTAATGATATACTTTTGACTGGCCAACAGCACATCAGTACTGGGCACTTGCTACAATTTTAAAAGAATCTACACCAGACCATTAATTACCTCCGTACATCACAGAGGCATTTATTTTACTTTTAACCACAATTTTATAGCATAAAATACTTGATATTTTTACTCTTGTGGTATTTCAAGGATACATCTGTTCACAGTTACCTGATATCCATAAAACTAAAAGGTTTGTGAATGTAATATGTGTAAAGTGCAGTGATTTGTTGCAAGTTGATTGAAAGAGAAAGGACACAATGTTGGAGCCCGAAGATAATATAACCAGGGGTGAAATTCTCAAAAAAAAGTAGAGGTACTTAGCTAGGTGAAGTGGACCTGTTTATAAAAAAATAAAATCTATGTGGAAACGTAAGAAAACAAGAAAGCAGCTCAAATAAGTCCCAGTACTAGTACCACCTTATAAAATATGTTCTGGTACTCAGTTCTGGCAGAATTTCACCCCTGAATATAACTCTGTAGTTGACCAACCCGAAAATAAAGCATTGGTTTGTTTGTTGCTAAGCATAAATTTACATAATGGGCTATTTGTGTTTTGCTCACCATTCACTAGTATTGAAACCTGATTTTTAGCATTATAAGCTCTTAGACATACTGCTGTTCCAATAGGGGGCAAAGGCAATGCTATATGGAAATATCAATATCCTATGGGACAGTCTCAAGGTATCTTTCAAACACAAAGTTGAGTAGGACAAAGAGTAACTATCCATTGAAAGAGCAGATAAGTTTCTTGATAGGTTAAGCTCAAAAACACCTCAGGTTGAATTTTGCATACTATCTCAAATGGCGATAGTGTGTTCTAAAATTATAACATAGAAAAATTTTAAATTATGTAGATAAGAAATACATACTATAAAAGAGTAAGATATATAGTACTTGCATACTACACACACTTACATATCTTCAAGCTTTGAAATAAAATTCAACACTGTTACTAGTGTTAATATTCAAAGTCGTATATATATTACCTTTACAACTAGGAGCACTTCCCGTCCAAAGGCCATTTTCTTCACAATGGCGCATTCCAGTACCAATGAGTTTGAATCCTTTTGAGCAAGAGTAAGTCACAAGACTGTTCAAGAAGGTTGTACTATTTGGATAAGTGACCTCTCCTTTCAACACAGGAGGTACTATACCACAATCAATATCTATAGATGGAGAAAAATATACAATTCATTGTAATTATTTAAAGAAAATTTTAATTTATTAATTAATATTTCATATTACTAGATGAGCATATCTCTGTTTATCTGTGTATTGATCTTTGTGAAATGTTCTAGCATGACACACATCTTTAAAACAGGAACAAGTGCAGCCCATTAGTTAGTGTACATGCCAGACTATAGGTTTTAGATTCCTGATGGAATGGTCTATTTTTTCATTGGGGTGTGTGTGTCTGTGAGTCAGACTAGTTTTGGAGAATTCCACTCCTCATCAGTGACCCTGGACACTATCACCAATGAAATATCAGACCAAATATCTATAGAATGATAGTTTTTTTTGTGAGTGTAAAACACTTAAATACACCATTTCAAAAAAACGAATAAAAACATAGACACAAAATAATATACATCACAATACTGTGGTTACAGTCCTTAATTTTGAAATGACAGATTAAAGAGAATGCAGCTAATTAACACCATCAGCTCTAAGGTACTTTTGTAAGGATGAATAATGGGGTTTGACCATCACTTTTGTAATACATTCATAATCAGAAAGGATAGAGTGCACTTTGCTTTTTGGAAGTTATTATTTCAACTTGTACCTAATTGGTTGCTAAACACACATCATGACATATCATCATGCTAACCATTTTCATATTGCTGCACCTATTAACAATGTTGTATACTTTGTGGTGTTTTTCCTATAAACTTCCATTATTTTTAAATATTTCCTCAATTTACTGCTGCAATTTCACCTAGCAAAGAAATTTGCAAACAATTGGATATCTTGTGGGTAAATAAAACCTTCATATTTTCACATGGTATTCAGCCTGTAAGTATTCTTTGTGTGCACTAACACTTACCTAGGTTTAAACAATATTTGAAAGATTAATTGTTTTTTAATAATTTTATTTATTGTCAAGGGTGCTATCATGTGTATCAGTCATCATAGGGTATAATTATTACAAGTAATATTATACACTAGTTTTTTAACAGTTTTATTAATTTTATATTGAAAGAAAAAACTAATTGAATAGAGTTGTTTAAACATTTGTTTAACAACAAGTAAAACCTATATTCAATAAATATTTCTTGACTTTGATTATAATCTAAAGGAGTTTTTACTTCTGCTTAAATTTATTCATTATTAAGTCTAAGTTAGGAAAAGTTGAAATATACATGGAAGACTATAAATAACAAAGAATTTGTCAGTTTTTTGTTTAGTAATGCCCAACCATTTATAATTTTTTTAATGTCTTTTCTCAGTCTATTTTTTAATTGAATAAGTAATTTTTTTATAGTTCAGATGTCAGTCAAAGTATACCAGGAAGTGATACTCAATCCATCATGACTGGATATCAACAATTATGTTGAATGCCCACTAGAACACTTACAAGATATTTATCATACATGATGCAAAAGATGCATAGAAAAAAAAGGGAGTGAATTTTAATATTTTTTATTTACTTTCATTACACTGTGTTATTGCTATAACATCTGTTCAACTGTTACTGCATTTTTTTATATAAAATATAACATTTGTTATTTGATTTTGGTGGAGTTCATGTTCTGTTAAAATCAGTGAATTAAAATTAAAGTAAAATGACAGTTTGACCTTGAAATTGTTTCTCAGTTACCCTGTGCAAACCATGGTTAACAATATATGGGGGTAAGCTCACTCATGAAATGATGATAGCATTTTTCATCGTTTGGAATTCTTAATCAAGATGTATGACTCTTCTAACCTGTAAAATATACCGTGTGATAGTATTACTGGTTATATTTCTTTAAACAATATGCAAATGATGCATTGAAAGGGTGGCAATATTAGTGTATTTAATGTTTGTAGTTATTGCTTCCATGAAGCAGCTTCTACATACTATTATAGTGTTTCATAATTCGACATTTTTGAAGTTTTTTTTCCTCATTAAAATTTTTGTTTTCAAATTCATGAAAGTCAAAACAAGTTAAAAAAAAAACTATGTTAGCATAATAAGTTTTATGAGAATTTATTTTCAAACGAATTGGATATATAGATAGATTAAGAAATTTGATATTTCTGGCAACTCTGACTGATTCCCAGGCCATGAGATATTTGAAGTTGAACAAGTCTTAAACACCTATTAAAGTTGTAATAGAGATGTGACAGACTGTATGAGATGTGGGGGTGACAGTGCCGTTAGTAGAAGGAGGAGGGTTAAATAGTCCATCATAATACAGTGCATAATGGTGGCATAATAGTGCATTAAAAAATTAGTAAACATTTACTCCTTTTATATGGGATAAGGTGATCTGTAATCACACACTGCAACAGGATGATTATGCACAGGAAATGGGGTACAAATACCCTTACATTACTCTCCAATACGAGCACTGTATGGGAGTAAAATTAAAATACAAGGAAAATGTACCATCAACAAAGAAATGCTTGTTACTTAAAGAAAAAATTCAAGTATTATTACATTTTGATTGCTACAGCTTTTTAAAGTAATTAATAGATATTGTAAAGAAAATGTTTATTGCTGATATACTTCAGTTCAACTCAAACCTCATTAATAATACATCAAATTCATTTAGTGCTGTACATCTACTAAACAAACTCAGCTGCAACTTACAACTGTTATACTTACATTTACAAATGGGAGGCTGTCCTGTCCACAATCCATTCAATCCACATTTTCTTTTGGACTTTCCAATCATAAGATGACCTGGTTCACAGATGTATTCGATAGTTGAGTTAACTGTGACATTATGAGGTTTTACATAGGACCCTTGTAGAGCTTCAGGCTCACCACACTCAATCACTGTACAAACATAAGAAAAAAGCTTACTTTCCATGAAGAAATTGCAGTTACAAGCATGCAGAAATACCTAAATAATGCATATTACATCAATTTAACTGACTTCTAAAGAAGCAGGTGTGTTGGTCCTCTTCATATGGCCTGATGGTAAGCATGCTCAACTCACAAATTGAAAGTCAAATAAACCCCATCACCAAACATGCTCACCCTTCCAGCCATGGGGGCATTATAATGTGACAGTCAATCCCATTGGTAAAAGAGTAACCCAGGAGTTGGTAGTGGATGTCGTTGGCTAGCTACCTTCCTTCTAGTCTGTCATTGCTAAATTAGGGAGCTTTGCACAAAATTCAAAACAAACAAAAAACCTCTTCACATTAAACAATATTTTATTTGCTTTCTTTCAGCTAGTGTAATCATATATTAAAAATTAGAAGTTAAATGTTATTTCATTAAACTATGTTTTGAATTGTAATTACAATTAATTATTATTCAATTAACAGTTTGAGTTGTGATCATAACATGGGAATAATGTTTTATTACAATGGTGCAGTAATTTTTGGTATATTTTATAACAGTAGAAATATCAACAGTTAAATGGATTAAGTTAAAATCAGCAAACTTTCTTAAACATATTTTTCTTACTTTTACAAAGGGGATCTGGTTCTTCCCAACTTCCTGTATCTAAGCAAATTCTTTCATTCTGACTGTCTAGTTCATATTCTGGATCACAATAGTATTGGACCTTACTTAAGTAAGTGGTGGAGTGATCCAATAGAACAAACTTTCCATTCTTTATATCTGGTGGTGGGCCACAATCAATGCCTGAAAATAAATCAACAAAAATAAATTAGCACCTACAGATCAAGTAAATATAATCTAATGACTGTCTTATTTAAAAATTTGGAAGTGATATTTTAAATAAACATTAATAATGATTTCTATAATAATTAAAAAAAAACCAATGATGAACCATCAAAGTATATGTTAATTGTGTCACAAATAAATGAGTGTATAATACTCTATAAAAGCTTTTTGTGTTACAACTGTATGTGTTATGTCACAAGAATGTAATTTATTTCTGTCACAGCCATCAGTATGCATAATCCAAAATAATATAATTTCACTTGTTTTACAAGTGAAAGAGTGAATTAACACAACTACCACAGTGTAAGTTATGAAACAATGCATTCTAAGAACAAAAGATGTGTATTTAGTTAGTTATACTCATTACAATGTACAGTTTTACTTTCACTCCTGTTTTGAGTGGAAGTTAATATTAAAAACAAAAATTCAGCATGAGCCCACAGTTTATTTTAGTGTTTTATGAGTAACAAGCATGTATTATATTTGCTCTTTAGGTGATTTTTCAAATTCCAAAAAGTAATGAAAACTATGAAAATAAAGAAGGACCAGTTAAAAACAGATTACAGTCAGAGGATAAAAAAAACAGGTGAAAAGGAAACCAATGTTTTAAAATGAAGAGTTCCTGTTGAGTCTCTTAATTTCAACAGTTTGACTTATTATGACACAAAAAATATCAAATTATATCTTGTGAAGTAGTGGTTTCTGTTTTATTTATTTTCACTTATGATTTTATTGTTTATATATTTATCTCAGCTATATTTTTATATGTCTTATATGTTAGCTCACCTGCATTACAGTGAACACTAAATATTAAGAGCAATTTGTATGTTAGGACACCAAAATGGGATTGTCTTGTTAATGATCACATACAATGAAACCTGGTGCTACAAAAACTGCCAAACGTGCTTTATAATTTTATGTTTATAACTTGTTCTGTTTGCTAATGTGTTTATTCAATCTCACACAAACCTTCCTATGAACCACATACTTATTTCAGAAATACCCTCTCCCCTTCTGAAAAAATCCTGGCAATGTTCATGGAACTGCTAACCACTAGGCCTCCCATGGTCCAAGAAGCTCTTTAGATTCAACTTTATTGTACACTTGAACTTAAAATGAGCATTGCATTCAGAGAAAACTAAAATAAAAATTACAATAATCAGCAAATAGGAGTATTATGGTAGTCTAGTATCTCATTACATACAATTAAAATTTCCATGTGTAAAATGCCAAATGCCAGTTGAATTGAACTATGGGATAACTTATCATGACTGAGGTATTCCTTACTTCACAACTGTTTTTACAAACTTTAGTAATTTTTCTTTCTATTATTCTGTTGAATATTGCATATTTTGAAAAGTGCAAGGTTAAGTCTTTAATATTTAGTTTTGTTAGTTAATGCTATCCAAAACTGCTGCTGTTGACATTCAAGGATAAAACTAACAAACAGGTACCTGATCTCTGCAATAACTACAGATTTTACAACCTAGTATGTGAAAGAACAGGTGTTGTGAGTTGTAAGTGGAGGAGTGAAAGATAATATGAAGTGCTGAAGTTAAAATAACTATTGCTTTGCAAAGTGAAACTGAGTAGCATAAATGAATAAAACTGCATTAAATAATAAACAGAAACTGTACTTAAATTAAAGTTGTGAGTAGAAATACATTAAAGAGACATAATTAGTGAGCTGAAGGACTTAGCATAGTGAGTCTTGGATCTTTCAAGATGGACACAGAACTGCTCTCTCTGAAGGCAGAAAGAAATATACCAGAAAACTGCTAAAACTGTAATCATAATTCAGATTCTTTCTGTAGTTAAAATCCAAAAACTAGATCAAAAAGAGTCTAGAAGTATAAATCAGATGTGACAGATGCAAATTAATTCTCAAGGTATAGATATAATACCAATAGTCTTTAGGTAAAGTAGAATATAACTATCCCATGGAACATTACCTAGATTTCATGATTAGAAAGTAATTTCTGAGACTGAATTTAACATATGACCTTTACCAGATTAAGTATTTTACAAGTTATATCTTGAAAAAGCTTAAAATATTTGTATTTTTCTATTTTATAATGTGGTATTCTAAAGTAAACTTAAAACCAACAGCTAAGATACTAAACATAATAACAGGAGATTCAAAAATAACTATTACTTTGAAATGAAGTTAAGAATTACTTGACCAAAAAAAGAAGAGAATTAACACAACTTTTCAGCAGACAAACACTTTATTTACTAATTCACAAACAAGCTTGTGAATAACTTTAATGGGAGAATCATTATATTAACCTTATTTGCACATGGTTGGTTCATCTGAGACAAAATTTGGCAAGCTTTTAATAAATGTAAAGTGCCTGTCATACACAAAAAACTCAGATATTTTAATAAAGTATTTTCACTAAAGATTTGCTTGTGAATTTATGAGGTCAGTCTGACAAGTTTGAATGCAAAGTGATTTTCATGTTAAGAATAAAATATTTTTTCACCTTACAGTTTTAATATTTCATTTACATAACCTCTAGGACCTCCTAAATGAACACCAAAAGTTATTTTTTTGGTGAAAGCTTTATACTTCATCTCTTATTTAATGACCTTAACACTAATTGTAGGGAAATCATCTATAACAAAAGTGAAAATCAAACTATGGTAAACAAATAATTAAATTACAGCTCACATGCTTACCTCATTGAGAAATTTTTTTTTTCATTTAACAATAAATTTCTCCTTCAACCAGAGGTGAAGAAGTGTTTTTGTGTGGCAGGGCAAGGAAAAAAAGACATTTTGATAAATATTTCTTGGGGATGTTGCATACACTGTTAGAAAGTCTAGAATCTGCTGTATCCAAATATACAATTGATATAATGGTAACATATCAATGGCATAGGAAGTAGTTGGGCCTAAATTAGTTTCATCAAAAGTGAATAACTCCAGGATTTTTTATGTCTGATCTCTGTACTTAAGCCACTATCTAATAAAATAAGTTTCTACTTTTTACATGTTGGCTATCTTTATAACAATGACTAAGCAATATACATAAAAAAACCACAAATTAGTACTTACATATGGGTCTTACACTTTTTTGTTGTTGAAATCTCATAAGTTTACTTTATTTCTTGATAGGATTGGTTTTAGTTCTTTACTTAGTTTTTATTTACTTCAAGATAATTATAAGCACAAAAAATACAATACAAAATAACTATTATAATTTAACTAGATTTCTAATTAAACAGTACGTCAGTTAATATTATTCATTTACCTGGTAAATATGCTCTCAGCAATACCAACAATGAACCTCTACACTGAATAATTCAAACATTGTCGTTTAAGAAAGAAATCAATAATTTTTAAATTTTCTCTTGCTGTTGGTTAGAAATAACCAATAGAAAATGTCAGAGAGAATTTATGGACATTTTTTGAAAACATGAAACCCACTGCCACACCCATTCTTGCACATCATCGTATTGTATATATCTCACAAAAATAAGGAGATTGAAGGCTACAAGTTGACATTTTAGCTTGAGGATATCTATAGTACCACTGTAAACTTTCTGAGAACCTTAGAACTTCATATAGGGCAGAAAGATAACCTAAAGTGGGCAATTCAGAGTGAAAAAGTATCAATGTGACACATACAAGTGAAAACTGAGAATTTATTTCAATATTTTCTTTTGAATTAAGAACTTAAATGTAATATAATATCAAAATTTCAATTATACCCTATGTTTTAACGTCAGGTTTATCAACATACATTGATAATATAGTTGTTTAATTAAATTTTGAATGTAACTCTGTAAAAGGTCATGATATACACATTAACTCTACACGTACACATAGGGTTACCAGCTTTGTGTAGACCAGCTATTCTCTTAATGACTACAGAACTTGAATAGCACAACACAGAACAATAAATTGGGTTGTTCTGAATCTACTAGAATTCCTATACTTTGCTTTGACTCACAAAATGCCTTTCCACATGCTCTGTTTGGCCGGTATGATATAGGCAAAAACTGAGTTTGACCTTCAGTATCCTCTCTTGTGATAACGATATGTCATCATGAAATTCATCATGGTCATCTTATGGGATTACCAAATCCAGCAACCATGTAGCAAAATACATACACGCAGATAAATTAGATATCTATGGTGCATGTAAAAAACCTGAATACAATATATGATTGTAGCTGTGATATATTCAGTTGAACTGAATATATGTTTGAGCTATTTGATAGGTATGCTAATTAACAGGTGATTCATTCAAGATATCAATTAAGAAGTGTAACTAAAACTCTTACTTAACTTTGTCGATGTAAAATGAAATAATGAGATTGGTCAAAATTAACACAAAATAAACAATTTTTATTAATGCATTAAACACCAACACAGTTGAAGGAGAAGTTTCAAACTAACAACATGCCAGGTTTCTTAGGTGCAAGAAACCTTGTATTTAAATAAAGCAACATTTCACTACAACATAACTGGTCATTCTAATTACATACTGGTGGAACTATAACCTATAGATATTACCTGAACTAATGTAAAAGGACACTGCTGTTAACATTCTTACACAATGTCATATTAAACAGTGTTCTCCATGGGAGGAAATAGGTGTTACCTACTTCAAGAACAGCAAAGGAAAAAAGGTAACTTGAAACAAGATCAACTTAATGGCTTTTTAACCACAAGTTATGTGAAATTTGTACATATCCAGAACAAAGAATAAATTCAAAAGAACTATTATAATTCTATAAGAAGACAGAAACACATGGTACATTCATATACCACATTTTACTGTCTTTCCTGCATCAGGCTCATCCCAAGCTGAGTTAACTTTAACTTTTCTATCAATAAAAATTTAACTTATGTTAACCATTTCTGTCTTCCAAAAATAATTGTACATCTCATATATGTTACAGCCCCTTAACAAAGAAAATTACATTACTATAAAAATGCCCTCAAACAGTGAATGCAACACATGAAGATAAAACCCTTTACCCATAGGTTATATATTGCAAAAGTTAGATAAAATTCTTTAACACTGGCTAATACATATAAATAAACCTTTTACAAATGAAAGAAATACTCTATATAATGAAAAACAGAGTATATAACTATCCTTGAACAATAAAATAGTAAAAAATGCTTTATGAAGAATGCTAGTGAAGAAACTACATATAATATAAAAAATAAATCTTTCAACAAAGATGCAAGTCTATAAACCCTTTAATATTGAAAAGCCACAAAATTACACTCTTTATCATTGATCATCTAAAATAAATGCACTTTAGCAGTGAAATCACAAAATTTTCAATCACAGCATACAGTAAAAAACCAAATCTCACTATTCAAATATCTCATAAATCAAACCCTTAAACAAAGATCAACATTTAATTATTAATATGACTAAAAATATACTTTAAAAGTTGTAAATAAAATCACTTTCACAATTTAAGTTATTCAACAAAAATGCCTTAAAGCAGTAAAGGTGATGCAAAACCTTAAACACAGAAATTCTAATTATTACTTCATAATAAGAATAATAAATTTAATGTAATCTTTTTTTAGACAATAGCAAAAACACATAAACCCCTCAAAATGAGCATTTAAAATAATAATAAAAAGCATCAAACCATCTACAAATTATAGAAACCAATACAAAAAGAATCTTTCATACAATACATTAAATAATCAAACAAAAAGCTAAATCATTCAAATTAAAAAAAAATGAAAAAGAAGTAATCTTTTAACAGTAATTATCTAGCAGGAATTAATAAACCTGCCACGAATAAGGCACATTTCAGGGACTGTAATGCTTGTTTGTATTCATCACTTTATCTAAAGTGCATTTCAGCTACAGCAAGAATCAGAAATGGTGAGGCTATTTAAGAGAAGTTGGTCATAAACTGTAGGTAGTATGAAGCACAAAAACTAAGGAATCTATAATCTTCTTGTTTGGTTCCAGGTTGAGGCCAATCTTGCATTGCTACTATTGTAAAAGGACTCGTGTTGGTTCCTTCTCTACCAACAATATGAACAAAAATTTCATTTTCATGTGCATAAGTGCATATTTACTGGGTTTCAGTTTCAATCCTGCATTGTTTTATCTGTTGGAATATAATTTTCAGGTTCTCAGTCAAAGAATCAAATGTTCGACCAAACAACAAGACATTTTCAACATAGATCATCCAGTTCTCACATTGCATCCCTTTCAGTGTAAGCTGCACTAACCACAAAACTCATACAAGTCATCTCTTATGCTAACAGCAGCCTTGGGTCTCTTATCATCATCCAGTGTCCAGATGTCAGGTCTAAAGTATTGAACTAACGAGCCCCTTCCAATGCATCCAGATATTATTCTCTTTGCAGTAATATAAAGACATGAACACAGGTGACAATATTCATGCATCTAAAATCAATGCAGAACCTGGGTATATCATGGAACATCAGTTCACCTGTCCCACAGGCAAAACTGATCAATAATCTCCACAATTCATCTTTCTCAAGGATGCTGATACCAGAACAGAGGTCAGCAACAATTATCTATGGTCTGTAAATGAACTGTCCTAGACATAGTCAGAGCATGACTTCTTTATTCATGTCTAGTTTATCTTCCCTCACCAGAATAGTTTGTTTCAATAGTCCTGAGTGGTGGTTTTGCTCAGAGTTCCTGATAAACTATGAAATCTGTCAGTTCTCTGGCCACTCCTGTATCAATAAAAACTCTATCTCTTGTCCCTATACTTCAACAGACATGTAACTAGACATACCCAACCCTCAAAGAGCTGAAAAGACTACAACGCTTTTTTTTGTGTGGTGCAAATTGTTTACTGCTCTCCCACAAGACAGTAGGCTTCTGAAGCTAGAGCTGTAGTATTCACTGAATGCCATTGGCTCTCATGAACCTATTCTATTGTACCATTGGTTAAAACTGATAGCCTTGTCTACTTTGCTGCTTGGCAAGATAGGAGCAGTTCATTCAAAAGTGACCCAATACTACATAGGTAAAGCAGGTGATTTACTCATCCCCAACATAACAACATCTTAATGGAGGCATTGGTGGCTTGTACACCATGGGAGGACTGGGATAGGTCTGCCCATTCGTTGAATACCAACCAGTGTGGCTACATCGCAACACTGATACTGGACTTTGCATTATTTTTATTGAATGATCAAAATTAGCGATAAAAATCACTAGGACAACATAATATACCAGTAATATTTAGGCACAAGTATTTAATAATACAGTTACAGTAATAGCTAAATATTTTTTTTATTGTAAACTTTTTAATGTTGGCTGGGTTTGAACCAGGTAATACGTGGATCCTTGGGTAGGTGAAGTCACTACAGTTCTGTTATAGGCTTCTTCCTTTCATATGAGTGAACTGAAGTTACCACTTTGTATTATAATATGATAAATACTGCCTCATTAAGAGTTAAAAGGTCTCACACATCTAGGTGATGTTGCATCATCTCTCCTTATAGCCCTTCCATAAACTTGTCTACAAGGGTATCCTTTCAATATGCTAAGGCCATTTACTCTGCAAATGGCACAGATCATCCATGTAAGCAATCAAGCTTTCTGAGGCAAACCTCTTTTGAGTTTTGAATTCAGCCTGATGGATTGCTCTGTTTACCACAAGGTCAAACCTCCAGTGCAACTCAATTACGACTTCCTTGCAGTTTGTTTGGAATATATATATTATTTTAAAACAAGTGGGTTCTTGTCAAAACTCCACACAGGCTAGTTCAGTTACTTTAGAACTAAATTGACACATCCTGAGAGTTGTTTCTCCTCCAAATGCTTAAAGGAGTCAAAGGCCAGGCTGTCTAGACTCAGGACCAGGCACAGCCTGTTCCAAGTCCAACTATTCCTGGTAGTTATCTACCTGAAATGCTTCAGTAAACAGTCTAAGTCTTCCTTTTCTTTGCTGTAAATGGTGGAGTAACTTGCTTTACTTTATTCACTGGGACTTGATATCATGACCAGAAATTGTCCTTTCTGAGTCAATTTAAAATGAAATAAAAGAAATTGTACACAAGTAATACATAAAATGAATAATCATTATTAATATAAATGCACCAAACCCAAACACATTGAGGGTGCTTTTGCAGAGGACTTACTTTGGACAATTACTCTTAAGTAGCTTCTCTCAGATATACTTGGTCAATACCAAGTTCTAGAAATAAGCTGACCAATTGACGGAAAAGTTTAAGACTAAATATTGGGTTTCTTAGTTTTTATAAAACCTTGGTTTAAACAGGGAACATGCACTACCAAATGACTAGTCATTCTCGTTACACGTAAGTGTGGCTGTAACCTCTAGATATTACCTAAACAACTGTTGAAGAACATTGCTGGTGACATCCTTACACAACATTGTATTAAGCAATGTTCTCCCCAAGACAGTAACATAAGTTACCTGTTTTGAAAATAACAAATGAATAAGGGTAACTTGAAACACAATCAATGGTTTTCTAGACCACTTTTTATATGAAACATGCAGAAACATTCAGAACAGAGAATAAATTCAGAAGAACTATTATAACTGCAAGAATATATAGAAATACATAGTATATTCATATCACACAGTCAAAAACTGGACAGAGCTGTTCAAACTAAAACATTTTATTAAAATATGGAAAATTATGTTAATAAAGATGGTGGCAGGACAGTTTGCTACTGAACATTTTGTTCCCAGACATTTCGCTACCAGTCTTTTCCTTACTAGAGAATTTTGCTACCAGGTCATTTCACTACCTGATAATTTTATGTCATAATCTCCCTTACACATCTTGTTTAAGATCATACAATAAGAATATTTCGTCAGTATTAGTTCACTAGACAAACACTCCAGTCATTAAAATATTAGAAAATATTTCTTCAGTATAAGTTTATTAGAGAAGCACTCCTTCAAAATAAAAAAGGTTTTTATGTTGTGAAACATTTGATTCAAAATGATGAAAGATCTGAACTTTAAAATGATTCAGGCTTTCCTCGAATACTTGTCGAGCCATAATGATTTATTTGTACATAGCCAGAACAGGTAGTGAAATGACCTGGTAGCAAAATACCCTAGTAACAAAAAGACCGATAGCAAAATGTCCGGGCACGAAATGTTCAGTAGCGAACTGTCCTAGAACCAATAAAGATATATTCAGATTATGATTTATAGAAAGGTTTAGTTTATGATAGCTACATATCATGAAAATACAGATTTTATTTAAAAACTTTTATTTACGGATTTAGAAGTAAAATAATGAGACCTGACGAAACAGAAAATAATTCCTTATGCAATGTAATCAGTGTGCATCATATCTTATCTGTACAATAAAATAGGGAAAGTAAACTTTTTTTAAATGTTTGACATAAAATGTTTAAACACCAAAGTTTACAATCCAAATATCAGTTTTATTGTTAATATTAATATATGTATAAATATAATTAAATATTTTTCATAGAATTAAAACCAGTTAAATGTTCTAGTAGCAAATATAGTTCTACAACTCTGTTATTTAATCTTTTAAATTAATCGATATTAAAATTCATACCATGCAGAATTTATCTTAAGAATCAGAATTACTTTTACTTACGTTTACACTCAGGTGGTTTGCTTGTCCAGTTTCCACCCAGTTCACAGATACTGAATTTATCACCGAGCAATACGTGTCCTTTGTTGCAACTGTAACTAATTGTGTCCCCATATTTATGTCCAGTTATATCCAAACTACCATTGGTTGGAGGTACAACAGAGGAACAGAAATGGACTGAGAAGACAGATATCAAATTTACACTAATGATATAAGAAATCAAATCTTTAAGCTTAAACATTTATTACAATAGATATAAGCAATCTGAGTTATAAAAACAAGTCTTGAGTTCATTTAAAACCATTGGTCACTACTTTCATCTCATGAATTACTAATATATGTGGTGAAGAAAAACTTTAATGCTCATTAATAGATCATAAGTACTAACCACTAGTAGTTAAAAATATGTACAGTCTAGCAAAGAAAGCTTGAAGAAACTATAAAGTTTGTTCTGTTAAAAACAATACAGCTATAGTCTGCAACTAATCAAACTCTGAAAACAGAGATGCAGATAATTAACACCAAAACTATGCAGGTTTAAATTCTGACCTGACAGTTTTTTTGCCAAAACAAGATTTTTTCTGACATAGCCATTAGCTTATCTTATCTTTAGGCAATGACAGTGAAAATATATTTCTTCAAATGAAATCAGTTTGCATTAACACTGAATGAAAACTTTTCTATTTCAGATTACTCATGAAAACTATCTCGTTGTTCCATAATAGTACAGAATTAATTATAAAAAGGACAGATTAGAGACATCAGATAGCTAGTTTAATTTTTCAAAAAAAGGTAATTTTTGAGAAAGGAGTTATTTGTCATCCATAAAAATAAATGCTGTTACAAATCTGAGTTTGTATTAATTTTTTTAACTATTGTAATCAGATAATTTGAGAGTGAAAAACTTTGAGTATAATATGTGCTTTCATCTTTTTTTCAAAAGTATGCCGTTTAAAATTGGCAACCTATGGAGTTGTAATTTCATTTGCTTGATATTAAGTGCCATAGAAAAGAGATGCTCTTTCAGAATCAGTTAGTTGCAGCACATAATGTTCTGGTAAAGGATGTTGACCTTGAAAACTACAATAACCCTGCAGAATTGGTTAGTTGCAGTACATAATGTTCTGGTACAGGATGTTGACCTTGAAAACTACAATAACCCTGCAGAATCAGTTAGTTGCAGTACATAATGTTCTGGTACAGGATGTTGACCTTGAAAACTACAATAACACTGCAGCTCTACTTTGTCATTATTCATAAAGCAAATCAGTAAATTATGTGTAATGACAACAGCATGAACACAAAACATGTTAGAATAGTATGGAATATGAAACTTTATCTAAAGAACATAAAACCTAGGTACATCAAGATAAAAACAAAACTGTTTCTGAATGAAGGTGCCATGTGTCATTAACTAAGAGCCCTTTACAATAAGACATTTCTTTGGGCAAGTAGAAGATTTTTCACATTATTTAAATGACATTAATACAAAGCTCTTAATAGTAGAGTGACCCAATTTATGAACATTTTTATTCTTTCAACAACTGCAACTGAATCTGCATGTTATTTTCTTAAGAAAATAACAGTTTTAATATTTTCACTTATTTACCAGAAAACAAAAATAAATTTATTTCACTGTAAGAATTTAAAGATTTAAGCTCCAAATAACTTTTTTTGGAAAGCTGTTGATGGGCGAGTTACATGCATGGTCAAATAAATAATGTTAAAAAAACTCTTCATAGCCACAAATTATAAAAGAAATAATCAAAAAAATATTTGATTCATGTTTATTAGTATAAAAATATGTTTATGAGAACAGACATTTTTGTTTCTTACAGTCTCACAGTTCATCCTTAGGAAAGATTATGCACTCAGTGGAATTAACGGCAGTGAGTTAGGAAGACACAATGATTCATTCATCATGAACAAAGACTGTGTGGTAGGTTTGGTTTATAGTAATAACTCACAAACACAGTAGGAATGTTTAGTGCCCAAAGGAAGAATAATGTACTGAATTACAAAGACACTCTAATTCATCTCTTAATAATTAGTATATTCTAGATGAAAATGATTCAGGTAACTTACACAGGCATTGTGGTTCTTCACCACTCCACTGGCCATCACTAGTGCATACTCTGGTTTGGTTTCCCATTAGGGAATAATTTTGGTGACATAAGTACATAGCAGTTGCATTAAAAGTAGTACGTGACTCAATAAGGTTCACATTTCCATTTCTAATATCAGGAAGGGGCCCACAGTTGACATCTGAAATTAAAAGAATATTTTATAACGGTTATATATTATGTTTTAAGCATTATATATAATAAAGAGCTATAGATTTATTACTCTCTTTTCACAAGGGTATATATATTAGTTAATTGTACAGAAGATTAAAAATAATATTAAATAATACTCAAAATTAATTACTTAAGTTGTTTTAATAATTAACATGCTAATTGTTAGTTTTGCTCTAAGTAGGTAGCTTGCTCTGATAAGAAGTTAATATTAAATGTACTTAAAATTTGATTTATTATTATATTTTGTCATTTAGTTATTCCTTTGATTCAGAAGGAATAGGATAAAAAGCTATACCCCTGCCACTACACTATCTCAATTCATTAATCTTAGCTTGTAATTACTTCTAAAACCTACATTTGCAAGTTGGAGCAGAGCTAGTCCAGAAACCATCTGATCCACACATTCTTCTTTTTGCTCCCATCACCATGTGTCCAACTGGACACTGGTACGTCACAAACTTGCCAATCCTGTAATCATTCTCAGTAATAGTTGTATTTTCCTCTATGTCTGGACTTCCACAGTTCGAAGGTTCTGCAAGAGTAAGCATGAAGTCTTAGAAACTTAAAATGCTTTATGAAACCATATTTCAAACTATAAAATCATGCAAAATTACAGGAAAAGTTAAAATGGGGCTTCCAGAAGGAAATCAATGTGTAACCAATTGGAGATACTAACTAGATTCTAATTGAAAACAAGGGAAAGCTATCTTAACAATTAACAATAAGCAACTGAAGCAGCCATGAGATTCTTAATACAAACAAACTAGACAAAATGGAAGGTACTCTATATACACTAACTGGATTCATGCTAGTCTTCTAGCATAATGGACTAAATCAAACAGCCACTACAACCAGGGTCAAACAAAAAAAAAAGGAATTTATTACATTTTGACAACAACAGAAATCCAAAATGAAACTTTTAAATAAACGTAATATAAAGTATTGTTACGTCTCCGTTGTTAATTGATTTTCCGTAACTTCGTACCGACG